TGAGGTCGATCGATCCAAGAACGATAATAATTAGAAGAAGACATGATTTTTTCAATCAAATTCTTGTGTAAATATAGTATGTGAAAGGATGATGAAATGGAGTGAATGAAGAGGATGAGGGTGCTTGTATTTATAGATGAAATGTGCCGACAATTCTGGGGAAATTCCGACGAAAATGGCTAGTTCCTCGGAATTTCCTCGGAATTATTAAAATCTCCAACAGCTCTCTAACGGCTATAATATAACCTCGGATCTGCGTCGGTTTTTCCGATGAAATCGGTTTTCCTCGGAATTTCGTCGGTGTGTTCCGAGGAAACCCAAACATTTGGTCTCCTCGGTATTGCCTCGAAATGTACTCGGAATTTCCTCGATTTTTTCCGAGGAATTCGCTTTCCTCGGAATTCCGTCGGTAAATTCCGTCGGTAAACCCAAAATTTGAGTTTCCTCGGAATGCCCTCGGATTTTACCAAGGATTTCAGTTTCCGTCCGTCGGAATATCCGTCAAAATTGCCGTGTTTTCTTGTAGTGAATATAGTAATCCAGAATATAAACAAAAAAACAAAACACTAATAACTTTATTGGAAATCGCTTTAAACAATATTTAAAGACCTTGTTTATTCAGCTTTACACGTTTAGTGTTAACACCTTAACTCACGCTACTAGAAGATTCCTAAGCTACTCATTTATGTCTCTCTACCATCAAGTATTTCAGTCATTGCTTCAGCACGACCCAATAACACTTCTAAGAGTTTCTCTCTCTCTCTATAAGATCAGTCTCTGTGTCTCTGTCTCTCTACAGATGACCCCATAGCTATCTTATAATTATTCTTCACGTTCCCGAAAACCTAGTCTCCAAGGAACATAATATGGACATCTTCCATAACATTAAGTGCAACTTTCCTTTACTTGGAATGCACTTATTCCTCTTTCCTTAAGTAATAAACTTGCTCCCCAATTTTATTCCTCTTGCATTTTCTCCAAGATACACCCTTGCTCACCAAGTCTACACGAATCCAGCTCAGCATCTTGACTTCACATGATCTTCACCACTCAACACGACGTCTGCTTCAGCAACTACGTTAGCGACTACTTCAAGGCAGACATCTTACATCAACAATCTCCCCCTTTTAGCTTTGTGTGCAGATCAAGCACAACATCCTTCTGGTTCAACAACCACGTTCCTCACTTGTAACCTTCCATACCAAATGTGTTTTTCTCCCTCACGAGATGTGCACCACACCATGTTTTTCTCCCCCATGAGATAAGTACCATCTACTTCAAGACGTCCATCACCATGCTCTTCTCCCCCGTGAGATATGTACTCCTTGGACCAGAACGTCACCACTTCTCCCCCTGCTTGATTGCATCCTAAGCTAAAACACATATGCTTAGATATCAAGCCTTACAGACCCACCCGTCTGCTTCTTCATGTATAATCATGACACAGCCCCTGCTGCAGCGGAATAACAAGTACTGCATCACGATCTGACGCACCTGTCAAACTATCTTTCGACCCACTTCTGTTGAGGACCTGGCTTCTTTCGTGCGTCGTCTTCTTGACTATGAGCCCCTCCTCATCCACACCGAGTGGCCTCTGCACTCGTTGATATTGTTTTAGAGTGATTTCACTATCACCATCCTGAAGATCATCTCGCATCACTTCCGGACGCACTTCGATCTCCTTCCCATTCGAACCACAAACAACTCCGTGTCCTAGCTCCAGACTTGATGCTTCTTGATCAACTTCAAGATCACTCTCACTATAGTTGCACCCTTCTTCGGATGTCCCATCCTTGACTTCATAAAATAAGCCACTCTTGGCTAAGAACACCTGTTCAACCCTCTTGGGTTTAATGAACGTCTTGTTCACCTTCTTCGCCATGTTTCTGCTTTTCTCACGAGCAAAACACTTCACCTTCTTGTGTCCAACCTTTCCACATAACCAACAGCACATCCGATGTTGCTTCTTCTTGGGCCTGACACAGTTGCTGATGCATCGATCAGTCTCCTTCCTAGTACTAGATGCACAACCATGCTTCAGAACCTCATGTATGATCTTCATGCTGCTGCACTGATGTAATCCCTTCGGCTTGGTACTCTCAGTCACGCGCTGTAGAACTTCCTGCCGTACTCCTTGTCGTATGTCTCGACGTACTTCCTGACGAATATCTTCGGCTTCACTTTTTGAAGTGCTCCCCTCTCACGAACTTTGACAGCCCCTGCTGTACGCAGTACTCTTAGCTCCTCTAATCTTCCAATTCTCTTGTTCAAGAGACTCATTCTTCTCTTTTACAGTCGCAAGTTCTTCAAGCAACTTGGTTTGCTTCTGAGCCACACTCTCCCATCTAAGATTCTCATCCTTGAGCTTCAACCACTTGTTGAGCAGCACGTGATACTCCTCATCATCTGTACTGTGATCTGAAACCGAGGATTCACTAGCTCTCTCTTTACGTGCACCAAATGCAACCATATTCTTCACCGCCTTTTCATCTTCTTCGGACTCTGAATCATCAGATGACTATACTCCTTTACCCTTCTTGAGTTTGGACATTCGCGCCTTGTGTGTCCAACACCTCTGCACTCAGAACACTTAAGTTCCTTTCGTTGTGCCATAGGACAGTCAGCCCTCACATGACCAAATTCTTCACACTCGTAGCATTTGATACATTCTCTTCTTCTACCATTTCCACGATCACCTCATTGACGACCATACTGATTTCTTCCACCAGAGTGACTCGTCCTACCAAAATTCCTAGCCAACATACCCACAGTATCTTCAAGCTTCTGGAATCTATCACCATCTTTGTCAGCTGCAAACGCTATACTCCCTGGCGCACTGCTTGACGTAGAGACTGAACTACTGTCTGTCTCAATCTCTTGTGCCTTCAACATACCCACAAGCTTATCAAACTTGAGCTCATCCGTGTTCGTAGTCATCTGCAGGATCGCCTTGTGAGCTTCAAACTTCCTTGGAAGACAGCATAGTAACTTCTTTGCCAGCTTCTTCTCCTTGTACTTCTTCCCAAATACAAATACTGTCATAGCACTGATTTTGGCACTAAATCTCGCACAAAATCAACATCAGACCATCTGAGATTCTGAAACTGCGACCCAAGATTATCTAGGCGTGTCCTCTTGACACTCTCATCTCCCTCAAACGAATTCAGTAGGATCTCCCACACCTCTTTAGCAGAAGTGCTCCCCTGAATCAGCTGGAACTGATCAGCTTCAACGGCTCCAAAAATCACTGACAAAGCCTTTGCATTAAATTTTTTTGCATTGCGCTCTGCCATTTACCAATCTTCTTTTGGCTTGGGCTTCTTCCCATCTTCTGTGATTATTGTAGGCTCCTCCTAACCAATCTCCACGGCTGTCCACGCATCTCCATTGATTACTCGAATCATCTGCTTCATGCTAGTCTTCCAATGACCATACTGGTTTGCATTCAACATGATTGCCTTCTGCATCGTAACAATCGTGTTCATCTTCACCTTCAGGATTACACCGATAACTTAGGTGCTCTGCTCTGATACCACTTGTAAGTGCAATGATGACACCATAATATAGTAATACAAAAGATAAACCAAGAGACAAAACACTAATATCTTTATTAAAAAGCGCCTTTAAACAATCTTACAAGACCTTGTTTATTCAGCTTTACACGTCTAGTGTTAACACCCTAACACATGCTACTGAAATAGTCCTAAGCTACTCACTTATGTCTCTCTGCCGTCAAGTATTTCAACCACTGCTTCAACACGACACAAGAACACTTCTAAGAGCTTCTCTCTCTATAAGATCAGCCTTTGTGTCCTAAGCTACTCACTTATAGTTATTTTTCACATTTCCGAAACCCTAGTCTCTAAGGAACACAATATAGACATCTTCCATAATATTAAGTGCAACTTTCCTTCTCTTGGAATGCACTTATTCCTCTTTCCTTAAGTCATAAACTTGCAGAACAAGTTTATTCCTCTTGTTTTTTCTCCAAGATACACCTACTCCAGCTCAGTATCTTTAACTTCACATGGTGTTCACCATTTAACACGGTGTCTGTTTCAGCAACTATGTCAGCGACTATTTCAAGGCGGACATCTTATCAACATCATATGCACGATAAATTATAAGATTTATGAGTCTGGGTAATACATGGATTTCTAAGAACTTGTTTTCTATTAATGATGTATTTTTATTTGGATTAATTCCTGACCTAACTTCCGATAAAAATCATAGTATTAAAACACTTAAGTACAATAAAAACATGTTCTCTGTACGAGAAAAGACGATCACATGAACAAACACATCTCTTCATTGATGATCCCTCATTTCTCCTGTATAATGATTATAGTCCTTTTGGATTTTGTGCTCGTCTTCATTTGAAAAGTGGAGACGTCATATACGGTTTAGTTCGAACTTAGCGAGCTCTTGTTTCCTCTCTTTCATCAAGCGTTGGCCTTGACTTTTATGATGGTGAGAATATTTAATGGTTTCTTTTTTCAGATGTCTTTCATAAGAGTCACAACTTGCTCTTTTATAAGAGCAATTAATCTCCGTCGAGTTCGTAAGTTGATTGCACATGATCCCTAATATTCAGTCTTTGATCTCTCTTTAGATCCACACGAGTCCGAGAAATATGGAGAAATCGTTAACTAATTTTCTACGTCTCCTTTTGATATTGAATAATCTCATCAAACTTAGTGACGAATTATCGTCCAACAATTAAATAATTATTTTTTGAAAAATAATCTAACAAATTACAATTTTTTTATTTGTTCAACAGATCAATTTTTAATTTGATAAACAAATAAGTAAAATTGGAGATTTTTTGTAATACAAATATCACTTTGAAAATTTAAAATATCAGTAAATATTACTTTCAAATTTTTTTGCAATTTTTCCAGTTTTATTATACTACTGATTTTGTGAAAGTTTTGAAGTATTTTGTTATTTCAAGTTAACATGATGGTTTCATAATTTTATTATGGTTATTTTTGTTGTGTCGCATATTATCATTAACTCATATTTCTACAAATAATGAACTAAGTAGGAAACTAGAAATCAAAATCTATTGAAGATACGATGCCATGGAAGAAAATGAAATTCACGAAATGTTCACTCAATTGGAAACAATACATAAAGAGGGAACGTTAAACACTCTATTGGTAATGGGCAAAGGATTCTTCTGGTACCAAGCTTTGAATTAGAGAGTGAGAGCAGTTCGAGCCATGGATAAAGCGCCGTCATAGGACTGGTTTCCGCCGATAAAGCCGCTCATGTGGACAAACACGCAACCAGGGATCTCAGCAGCTTTAGAGAGTTCCTCATCTCTAAGTCCTCTCCATTGCTCAGGTAGAGCCTTTCGGTTCTCAAACCTGTCTGGTGCAACCGACACTGCTTGAACTCTCCACTGGTTTCCTCGCTCGTCCTGTTTTAGAGATACATCACTTGCACTAGTTATCAATACAAACCAACCCTAATTATTCTTTTACTACACTGATATATTCACATTTCTTAAGGAGAATCTGCCATTTAAACAAGTGCCCATCCTTTATCTATAGCATATATAATCCCAAATGTAGCAACTGAATTGACCATCCGAGATACTCTTAATATTGTGCTTATAAGTTACCTGGTAGATGACGTATTTGATGAGTGGTTCGATCTTCATCTCTTGCTCAAGCTCAAACAAGTGAAGCTTCCACTGCTCACACCCATTGACCCCGAGTTAGTTTTAATCTTAAGAAACCAGAATAGTAGATACCAACAATGACAAGGGGAATGGACTGTGGAAGCAACTTACAGGGCAAAACCTTTTCAATTCCATGATCTCACCACTTGGGTCTGTCTTGAATCTTTCTTCGAGACACTGCATAACGATTGATCGAGCCGGTAACCACGACCTTGTATGAAATCTTACACTCTACAACGCAAATGTAAAATATAAGCGAAACTTAAGTTTATACTTGTTTGGAAACCTGTTATTTAACCATATATATATATCTTTGGGGTTGAACACAAAAATATTACTTCTAGGAACTCTTTGCCAGCTAGAGCCATGGCACGCTGGAAAGCCTCATTTTCCTTCTCCTGTGACTGGTCAGGGTCAATCCAATCCAGATTTAATCTTCCAATCCTGGAAGACAGATGTGTGTTGTTCACGTATTTTGGAGGCATATCAGTATCATACCGATTTATTCCATTGTCCACAGCATCAATCGCCTGTCAACAGTCGAAGAAACAATTAACAAAAACGCATGAAGAATGAGTTTATGCAAGCTAAGAATAACAGTTATTAACCTCCATGAAGCTCTTGTAGACAGCTAGAAACAAGCGAAGAACATCAGGGTGATCTTGGTCCACTTTAAGTTCCTTAGCTATGATCTCCTTTCCAAAATGCTAAAGGAAAAAAAAACATTTCAGATGATTATATCTTGTAAAAGAAATCTCTCAGGGAGGGAGCAAAGAAAGACTCTTTTAAAACCTTGTAAACGAGACCAGCACTGCTGAGCTTGGTGTTGAAGCCATGTCCAAAGACCTCTTGGAAGCCTTTCTGGTGATGATCATAGCGGTCTTGGTCGGGGTCATAAACACCTCCTACGTCAAGCACTGCATCTAGCTCTCCCAATATCTCCACCCCCAAAAAAAACAATCCATCAACAACCAAATGAATTTACAATCGAAACCCTAAAATTCCAAAATCAATTTCAAACAAGCCAACATCTCCGACTAAATCAATTCCTAACTCCAAAAAGGGATAAGCTTTGGTAGAGTTACCTTAGGGTCACGCGTACGGACGATGTCGGCGCCGGAGAACTTGTCGGAGAGGCGGATCATGAAGCAACCGAGAGCCTCGTCGCAGTGAAAGCTTCCATTGTGAGTACCAACTTTCTTGACGGAAACCTCCGAAGGAGAAGTGGGAGCGGTAGTAGAGTAAACCCTAACGGCGGCAGGAGGAGCCATTGATGCTGCTGAAACGAGAGGAAGAAGACGACTGAAGGAACTTAAGTTTCTGATTAAACCCTTGTTTATCGGAAACATAGCGAAATACGATGAGAATTGTCAAATGGGCCCTCTTTACTACTACGTTTTATAAGATGCAAACAGTTTGGGCCAATGGGTATAATAATGTATAAACCTTTTATCATGGGGCGTTATTGCTTGCTCAATCTTACTTTAGGTTTTATAGCGTGCATGTGGCGGTCCAGCGTCTAGCTAGATACAGCGACTCTCCCTTTTTGCTTAGGGGATTACTATTTAGTATCAAGGACAAGGCTGCTCCGATGGGACATGCCAGTGTTTGCTGTAACAAGAGCGTTCAGCTCTATAAGCCGATAGACATGTTTACTGTTTTTTTAGGAGGGATATTTGGTTTCATGGGTTGGGAAGTAAAGGAACACCATTGTTTGTTTGCTAGCATCTGTCATCTGTGGTCCGTCATCCACTCCTTATCCTTGGAGTCTGAAAATATCATTTTATTGAACTCGTTTACAAAATCACTTTTTTTTAAGACAAAAAAAAAAAGTCATAATCATCTTCATCATCATGTCGTTCAATGCTCGTTGTTTTGCTCTCTTGGTGCCTTCCTTTAGGTTGGTTTTAATGGTCACCGTCTTTCTCCTTCAATGCAAAGATAAACGTCCTTGTGGGTATCATATCCAATTTGGAAAACTTTGTCCTCTATAGTAAAAACACAGGTAAAGCAAGTCTTAACTTGGTATGTTTCCTGTCAAAATGGATCCTTTTCTTTGAAGAAAAGTTCCGATATGATGCGTCTCTGAAGAATCCAAGAGTCTAAACATCACCATTTGCAATACTAGCCTCAATCTACCCAAAAAAAACAAGAGAAGAAAGATGATGAAACACAAAGGGTTGTTGTTGCTGTAGCAGGTATTATAGTGAGAAAGAGAACCTGAACATGAATGATGCCCAAAACGATGCTTGTAATCGGCAACCAGCTTTCGTCCGGGGATATCGATAGGTTTGAGCTGCAATTTTTAGCACCCAGTTGAAATAGGCATAAGAAGACCAAAGAGAGATATGAAAATCCAATTGAAATCATCAGTGTAACCATATATTTCTCTTTGATAGCCAAAGAGAGAATAATTTAGAAGGTACCTGAGATAGCGAAGGACATAAAGGAGAGCATAGACAGAGTTGCGCGTTTTCCCAGTGTCAAGCCAAGTGTGAGGGATACAACTCACTTCTTAATTTAGGTTAGGTTAAGGTTTGGGAGAAGACAATCGTGGGCTGAATCCCTTAAGAACTTAGAGAATGAATTGTTGTTATATTGATGTTTTTGATGATAATAAGAGTTTACAAAGATGATCTTTATGATCCAATCGAAAGAACAATGATCAATAGAGATGGTTACAATGACAATGTATCTGAGTCTTTAAGTGTCGAATAAGTTCAAGATCCCTTTTTCTGATCTCCTTTCCTTCCTTAAATAGCTCTAGGTCACGTTCAGCTTCTCCCGGCGAAGCCTCCGAGATTATCTCCATGAGTTGCGGGATTTGCAACAGCTTCCTCTTGACTAAGTCTTGCACGTTCTCCTTAAGCTGTTTCTCATTAGCTGTTTGTAAATGAGGTCCTGAGCCTTTTATCCGTGACCTGTGTTTATCAATAGTTTTTCCATTCAGCCAAATAGGTAACGACTTCATTTGATTCTTGTTTGAGGAACGGCTTCCTAATGGGCTTATAATGTCCCGTAAATGACTTCAACTATTCAGCCCATTAATTCAGCTAACGGGCTAAATTCGGGCCAAACAGTTGCCCCCAGCTTTCGAGATGAGATCTCTTTTCTCGGAAGCTACAGCGTAACCGCCTGGCCTCTTGTTCCTCGAGATAATGATTTCTTTACAATATACTCGAAGATTCGTGTGACCTTAATTCTACGGCCTAGATTTCGTTTGGTTAAATCAACGGTAGGGATTAATATATTTTGAATAGTTTTAATCCCGATTTTCGAGGCTGGACGTGATATAAAGCTGCGGTTATTAACTGCGCTGTTTCTCCACCACCCCACGTCTCGATTTGATTCCCCAGGTAACTGTTCACTTTCTTCTTTAAATTTACTGCGATTATATTTGTTCCCGTTAATACTTCTGGGAGTTCTTAGTTCGAAAAAGAATTTTCCATCCGAATCCTTTTCGATTTCTTTTGGATTTTTTTTTTGTTTTTCTGTTATCATGACGAAAGATAAAGAAGGTACCGGAGAAACTGAACTTTCTACCTCCGGTGTCCAACTCATGAAGGTTAAGTTAGAAATCGGTGAGAAGATGAAAAAGGGTGAGCCGAGCAAGAAGGGTAGGGAACCGATTGCTCTACGAGTCTCCAAGAGATCGAAGAGAAACGACGACTCAAGTGGGAGCGTCCCCTTCGGATCCCACATGCCTTCTTTGCTGAAGAGCCAAGAAGTTGTTAATCTGATGGTCCAGGCCGTAGGTCAGAAGGATTTAGCCAAGGCATGCAAACCCGATGAGACTCCGGAGACTGCTCCGGAGGGATGGTTCTGCGTTCATGAGAAATACATCACCAAATGTCATCTCAGGTTCCCGCTTCCAGATCTCCTGTTGGATCTTCTTGATCACTATCAGTTAGCTCTTTCCCAGCTCTGCCCCTCAGTTATTCGAGTGATTAATGGTTTTATCACCAGAGCTAAAGAAGAGGGGGTAGCCGTTGGTCTCCGTGACCTGATGAGCCTTTATACAATCAAGGAGAGTGCCTCAAGAGATGGTGGTAGTGGTACCTACTATCTGCCTTGTCGACCCAAGCTGGGCCTTTTCAAGTTTTCCGGCAGTGATGACGACTGGAGGAAGAAGTATTTTTATGTTAAGATCGACCCTCTGACGGTTCCTGAGGGTCGTACCCTAAGGGTTACCTGGACCGATGCTTCTGGTTAAGGTCTTTAGGGATGCGTTTGTGTGGTTTGTTTACTTTGCGTATTTTATTGATCTCTGATCCTTTTTTTTTTTGCAGATATAAGTGACCCTGAAAGACTTACTACCAAGCTTACCAGAGCCCTACATCGCAAGCTGAAGCAGAGTCCTTGCACGTGGGGAGCTTTCACTACCTCCCGCATAGGTTCGGCTAGGTTTCCAGATCGTTACGGAGCCTCGTTTTTGGAGCCTATTCCAGCTGCGGGTTTAGAAAGTAAGCTTGCTTTATTTTTATATTCTTTCGCTTGTTCGACATTGTTTAATGAGTTTTATGTGATCTAGTTTCTGAAGGTAATTCGATCGTATCTATCTCGATGGAAGCTAGCACCTCCGAGACCGAACGATCTCAACAAACTAAGATGCCTCTCCAACCGTCCTACCGTTCTCGTGGCAAAGCAATCAAAACGGCGAGTTCCTCTCGAGGAAGTGAGAAGAATCAGGGTGGTTCTTTTCTCAACCAGGTGTGGGATGTTCTCGAAGACGAGGTTTCTATCCCAATCGGGGACACTGCTTCTGTCGACGTGCCAAAAGTCCAGGAGTCTGCTCCCAAATCTAATGTTCAGGTCAAGGAAACCGATCTTCAAGCGATCAAAGAGTCTTCTGAGGCCGAGCTCCCAAGGTCTAAGAGGTCCCGAGTGGACCAGATGGACAGGCCGTCTAGGTCTTCTTCCTCATCTTCCAGGGGAGGGACCACAGGATGGAGTTTTACTCACTCAAAACCTGGTTCTGTCCTGGAAGATCCTTGGGGTTCGGCCACTTTGATGAGACATATGAAGAGGACTGGTTGCTCTCTCCCCGCGATCAACAATATGACCAACCGAGAAGAGTACGTGGAGGTCCCCCACTACATGGGTCAGGTAAGGGGCCTCGATTACTTATTGTTTTGTTCGTTCTTTCTAATGAAGTCATCGATTGACGGCTTGTTTGATTTTTCATATAGCTGGTTGGAGCTATCAACCGAGCTCAACTGAGCTTAGAGAACACGATTAACAATGCTCCCAGAGCTGGAGAGCTAGCCCAGGTGACCGAAATGGTGAAGGCTACCAAGGAGGAACTCGACCAGTCCCGAGCTAGAGTCACGGAGCTTGAAGGTGTTGTGGAGAGGCTTGGCTCGAAGGCTGATATTCAGGCCGGGAAGATCGAGAGCCAAGTCATTGATATCCAAGTGAAGGGGAGGAAGATAGCTGAGTTGGAGGCTGCTCGGAAGATCGCCGAGCAACATGTTCGAGAGCTGATTGCCTCGTCGCAGATTAGCCAGAAGAACAAGAAGGCTGAGGTCAAACAGGCTATCCGTCAAGGGAAGAAAGAGGTAGCTGATGCTTACAACAAGATCTTGACTTCTGTTAAGGAGAAGTTTGCCAAGAAGAAGGAAGAAGTTAGCCTCCAGATTTATGCTCAGGAACTTCAGGCTAATGCCGTCCTTCTCGAGGAAATGTTGTCAAATGAGATCAAGAGCGTCGACGAGGAGCATCAGCGGCTGATGTCGTTGATTCCTGAAGCTACCGCTGCGTACGAGAAGGCTCAGGTGTCAGATTTTTCAGTAAGCAAGTTGTCTCTTCCTCAGATCTCAGAGAGCTCAGGTACTTTTGAGATCAACATGTTTAATCTGTGCTTTGCTGGAGGATATGGTTCTAAGTTAGGTCTGGTGAATCTGGCCTTAGCTCCAGTTGAAGCAGTCGCAGGTGATGGATCCTTGGCTAAGGAGTTGGCTCCAAGCGAGGAAGAGAAGGATGAGGAGAAAGATGCTGACGAAATGGAGGTTTAGGCGTCATCCTAAAGTTATGTCTTTGTGTTTTTCCAGACTTTTCGCCTGTTAGGCTTTCTTATTTTGTTAAGACTTATGACCTGAGGAGGTCTTTAAACCTTTACTTTTTTTAGGATTTTAAATAGCCTAGGGAGGCTTTTAAACCTTTGTTTCATTCTGGTTTTTATCCAAGTCATTTGACTTGTGGATTTTTATCTTTTATTAATTAAGATCGGATTTTCTTGCTGCAGATTTTGTCGACATTTCGATGAATCCCTTAGTATAGATTCAATTTGTCTGCGTATGAGTCTTTACTTCTTTGAACAGCGAATTTTAGGACAGGTTACTCCATTTTCTCTTGTGCGGAGCCTCGAGGTCAGGATCTCGGGACCTGATTTTACTCGGGATTAGTTATATCTCGAGCTAAGGGTTTTGAAACTTTCGGTTGGGTTCTTTAAAGAACATGTATTCGTTTATCTCATGCTTCGAGACCTTGGATTCAGTTAAGGATTTTGGGACCTTGATATTGAAGTTCATGTTCGTCAATATCTGGCTTGGATGGTGGAATTTTAAGATTCCAGGTCCGGATTTATTTGGGACCTGGACTCATTTAAAGAATGTTCAGGTCCAACGTGACTTGAATTTAGATAGTAGGGTTTTAAGACATCAAGTTCAGGTTCAACGTGACCTGGTTTTAGATAGTAGGATTTCCAGACCTCAGGTTCAGGTTCATCGTGACCTGGTTTTAGATAGTAGGATTTCAAGACCTTAGGTCCGGATTTGCCGGGACCTATTTTTAGATAGTAGGATTTTAAGACCTCAGGTTCAGGTTCAGCGTGACCTGGTTTTAGATAGTAGGATTTCAAGACCTCAGATTCAGGTTCAGCGTGACCTGATTTTAGATAGTAGGATTTTAAGACCTTAGGTTCAGGTTCAGCGTGACCTGATTTTAGATAGTAGGATTTTAAGACCTTGGGTTCAGGTTCAGTGTGACCTGATTTTAGATAGTAGGATTTTAAGACCTTAGGTCCGGGTTTGTCGGGACCTGTTTTTAGATTGTAAAAACATGAGACGATAAAATGTGAATGTTTTTATTATAACTTTGATGGAGTACATAATCATGGAGCTAATAGCTTGAGCTGGGTGTTCTGAACACGTGCCCCCTTTGAGTGTGAAGATGAATATGTTGAGGTGAGATTGGGGCTGTACTCATAACGGAGTTGCCTACGTACCCAGTCAAGGGATCAAGCCAGACGTAGTTCAATAAATTTTAGGTACCTAATGGTAGTATCTTTTGAGATTC